ATTTTGACTTGCAGCTGGGCTTCAGAGGTTTGAAGCACTAGCTGCAAAGGTTGAAACGCTGTAAGATGCAGTCCCTCCTGGGAGTGAGGCCTGCCAGAAACCTCAGTGCTCATGAGATGAGAGACAAATCCCTGCTACCCACAAGGCACCTGCTGAAGAGACCAGCCTTGGTTTGGTTGGCCCCTTAGACCCCTGCCACACTCCCAGCCTGGCTTCCCTGGGCTCAGCTGTAAATCTGCTGGAAAGTATGTGGACTCATGCCATGTCCCCACGCCAAAGGACCTGTGTTTTCCACGAGAGCAAATGGCTCCTTCTCTCAGCCCTGCACGTTTTGGCCGCCTGCACTGCTATCCCTCCCTGGCTGGGCTGGAAGGCTGTACCAGAGGAAGCCTTGTCCTGTGCAGAAGGGACAAGGCTGCTGAAATGGGCAAATTTGCCAGCTGAGGCTACTCAAACATGATCAAAAGTGACAGAGCGGTGAAAAACTGCCTGGCTAAAAGGAAACATGAATCTATTTATTGTCGCCCTCAGAGCAGAAGAGAGATAAGGCTGCTGGGGATGAGAACAACGGCGTTTTTCTGTGAAGTCAGCTTAGAGCAGAGCTACTGCAACCATAGGTCAACTTTATCCGTGTCTTTAACTTCCAAAGCTGGTGCTTGTCTGCTCAAGACTTGCTTTATTTTGTAGTGTGTGGTTACATGACAGCTCCTCAGCCAGAACTGTCCCCTCCTTAATACAGGATGGACGTCGTGCAGGCAGAGAAAGACTTGGTTCACTCTTGGCCCAGCTTTTCGAGGGACTCAAGATGAACACAAATGGTATGAGTTTCAGTCCAGAAGCTGCATGCTGTGCTTTGCGCTGACACCGGTGAGCCATGGAGGGAATGTGTCTGTGTGACCTCAAAGCACTGAAGCTACACTAGTTCTTTGGCTAAACTTGATTTTTTGAGGTCCCTGCTAGGGAGCTTGAAAAGCCTTGGTTGGCGTCAGGAGTTTTAAGGCTTTATTTGAAAGGAGACAGGAGCTATGGCTTTGCCTGTCTACTAGGGTCCTCCAGCCAGAGCCTGTCCTTCCTTGCAGGGACTCTGCAGGGAAGCTCTACCAGGGACCTGGCTCACCCTGGCCCAGCCACGTAAGTCAGCGCACATGGATGTGTGGGGCTGCATGTTTTACACAGTCTCTTGGCTTGACCTGTTTGCTGGAAATCTGTTATGAGGTTGATCCCACAGCCCTAAAATTCTGCTTTACTTCCCTATATGTCTTTCCCAGTGCTTCCTCTTGGTCAACCAAAGTGAGCCCAAGCTGCCCGCACCAGCACACCAGCAACAAAGAAAGAAGCCTCTGCTGCAGTGCAGTTCCCCAAGTTCCTTTGGATGTTTGTCCGAGACAGTCCTGCATTGTCTGATGCCCAGCATGCCCATTTCCAGCTTCCTGTGAATGGTTGCGCTGTATGAGACAGGCTGCCCTGTCTCATACAGGATGTAGTAGGGTTTGTGCAAAACCTGGTGTGCAGTTTAGAGCTCATGTAAAAGATGATCTGCTTAAGGAAGTGTCGCTATGAGCTTGGAGATTGTGTGCTCTTCTCCATCTCCTGCAGCTCCCTATGCTCTTGATCTTTCTAGAGGGTCTCGTCTGACCCACTGCCCTGCTGAGGTTGCTGCAGGTAGGACAGGAGCTCCAGGCTTTCTTCCTCCCCTGCCTGCTCAGCTCCCTGCCACCCATGGTCTCCTTCAGTGAGCTCTTAACCAGCAGCATGCAAAACATCTTTTTTAACTTAGAGTAAATGTGGTTTCTGTGTCAAGACTCTCCCTGATCTTGTAGAAAACGTGCAGCATTTCCAAGGGTGGTGGTTTTTTATTCCCCTTCAGCGAGTATTCTCCGAGCACTTACTGTTTGGAAAGCTGAGCGCTTTGCTCAGTTCAGCTCATGTCACCTGCTGAAATGGAAGCACTTAGGGGGTGAAGTGTAGGCACTGGCCTGTGAACCTTGGCAGAGATGAGAGATGCTTGGGTGGTTTCTTTTGCTAATGTTAGCCTCAGCTAAGACCTTGCAAAACTCGTCTCATGTGGGCCTGCAGGGGCAGGATGAAGGCAGGATTGATCAGAGAGCGGCTGTGCTTTTTTTCTGTGCATTTCCTCTTTGCTCCCAGCCCTGCTGCTGCTGCTGCTGCTGCTTGGTCCTCTCTGAATTGTTCTTGCTGTGAAGGTGGGACTGTGGGATGCCACTGCTCAGAAGGGAAAGAACTGCCATTTTGAAGCAGTTCTCCTGGCAGTCAACCGTGCCAGGAAGCAGAAACAGCAAAGAATGTAGGGCAATTTAATGATATTTTGAAGAAGAATACTCTGGTAGTTCCCTTCCTTCCAGAAGCCAGAGTGCCTACCACTGGATTGGAGAAAAGGCAGAGGGTGTTATTGCTGCGCATTTGGGGAGGCTGGCAGTCCCTGCAGGGAACCTCTTCCTCTTTTATGGGCAGCCCTGGTTTCAGAGAGCTGGTCGAGTTCATGTGCCACAGTCTGAAGATGGAGATTGCTTTCCCCTCCCTCCTTTTGAGCCACTCTGGGTTCATTGCAATTCTCTTTGCTGCTTGCTAGCTCTGTATCTGGCTATGAGCCCCAGGCTGCTATGTCCCCAAGGCAGTGTGCACACAGGAGATGAGCTTTGCTGGTGTTGATGAACCCACAGTCATCTTCCAGTGTTGCTCTTGAGTTGGACCACAAGTATTGCTGAGCAGCTGTAATGCTGAATGATGCACGCCAAGATTTCCCGTGTCTTTGCAGGTGCTATTCCCCATTTTCCCTTCCTAGGCTCGAAATGGGAGTGTTGTTTGGCCTGATTTTCCAACCTGATGTAGATCATACCCCTGGGAGAAGGAATAAGCGGAGGTGATAGCAGAGCCAGAAGGCAGCCCAGCACGTGCTTCCAGACAGCTGATCTGTGGAGGAAGAGGATGGAAGAGAGTGACACCAGGCAAAAGGACAGATTTCTTCTGCTGTGGAAAGGCCACCTCGTATTTGTTGCTGTTGTCACAACTCTGTGATGTCATAATTAACAATGATTAATGTTTTACAGAAGAGTTTTGTCTCCCAGCTGGTTGCTCTAGCAACAGCACTAAGCTGCTGTTCTTTATCTGACACAGTTGTCTCTTTGTCAACTCCTTACTTGTGCTGTTGACCAAGCTGATGAGACAATGATCTGCTGAGGAGGAGGTGGTGAACTGAGAGGTCCGGCTAGGCATGCAGAGGCAGCCTCTGGGATCTGCACAGGAAGCTGGGGTGGGCCCGAGCACCTGCCAACTCCATGATGTGATTGGCATGAGAGGGGTTGCAGGCCTGGTGACATGGAGATGCTGATCCAGCTGGGAATGCAGATTGGTGATTACACTCTGCTTCCCTCCATCGTCAAGCCTTGAGCTGCGTTTGCGGCTGCCCCATGTGCCCTTGTGCTGCCACATGATTTGAAGGCTGTGAAGGAGCCAGGTCCTGATAGTGGCAACACAGGGCAACAATGCCAATTGCTTTGTGTCCTTGTTGCTTTCAAGCACACCCACCCTGGCCTGGATTCACCCCTCCATCTCCATGGGGTGCGTGGGGGAAGGCAGGACCATTTCTTTGGGCAGTGTGGGCCCGTGTTGTGAGGGGACAGGACTGGGGCAGAACGACTTGGTACTTGAGAGAAAGGGAAGATCACTGCTCACTGCTGTTCTGAGGGCCAGGCAGAAGGGAAGGATGGGGCCCACCAGCTTCCTCTCCACTTTGTCAGCCCTTGTGCCTCTGGTTCACCTTCCCTGGGCTCCTCTAGTCCTGCCTGCACCCTGCTGTGCCCCTCTCTGGCCGTAGGTCGCCTGCATGCTCTCTTGAGGTCCAGAGGCCTCTCTCTCTGGGAAGCCTGGCTCGTGGGCTGAGTATGGGGAGGCTCGGAGCAGGGCAGCTGCCGCCCCAGTGCGCAGCCATCTTCCCAAGACTGTCCTCCTTTGCCGCACATATAAAAGAGCTGAGAACTTCTGGCTATCAGTAGTTCTCCCCTGCCTTGCAGAACATCTCTCTAAGGGCACTGGAGCTCTTTCTGCTCTTGCGGGGAGTCCATGTTGCTGTACTGGCAGCTGAAAGAAAACGGGTGATATGGGGTGAGAGGGCTGGGTCTCGGCTCTGCAGAGAAGAGTGTGGGATGCGATTAGCCAGGGTAGGCACCACTGGGTCTGTATGTATGGCAGTGTTTTGGCAGGTTTCTCCAGTGCTTCTTGTTGTTGATACCATAACATAATCATGTTGTGGGCAGAGTCACTCTCCTACCATAGTCACTCTCATTAGAGCAACTGGGAGAGAAGAGGAATGAAGGGTGAGTTATAACAACTCTTATGTGTCGAAGCCAGCATTAGGAGGCTTTGCAATAAAGCTGCAAATATAGCTTTAACTCTGACTTTAGCATGTCCAAGGACCTGATCACATACCACTTTCCCCTTGGGTGTCCCTGCCTCATTTGGTGCTCAAGGAATGAAACAGCCCCTCCGACTCCTCTCTGATCTTTGCGGCACGGCATCCTACCCCTCACATTGTTCCCAGTTCCAGTGCCATGATCAGGGCAGGGTTATCCCCTTGCTCCCAGGCTGGGCGCTCTCTGTCACGAACGCGTCAGTGGATCTCATGTGCATAGAAAACAGCAGTGGTGCCAGTGTATACCTGGTAGACTGAGGCACTGCTGGCAAGCTGGGGGGCTTACTTTCACAGCCGCTGTTCTTCAGTGCCTCTCTTCTGGGTCTAGCATTAATGAATCAACTCCCAGCATCCCATCACAGGGTGTTCACGCTTGTCTTGGCCTGGTTGTTTGTCTGAAGGCACGGGAGGTGATGAGAGCTAAATGTTCCTCTCCACTATGGCCTGTTGCTTTGCTGGCATCTCCAAGGTTTTTGGTGGCTTCAAAGGCATGTTGCACTGGAATATCCAGACCTGCAGCATCCCTTCCTTGCCTCAACATTCACTTCCTTTCCTTCTCTCTCTGTCCCAGGGGCCGACACTATGAGTGAGACCAGCTCTATCAGCCTGGAAGCCACAACTGGCAGCAGAGACACCTCGGTGGCCACCTCCATCCTGTCACCGTTCCCAGCCGGCCGCGGCCGGGAGGAGGCTGACAATCGTAGTGAGCACAGCTACAGCGAGTCCGGAGCCAGTGGCTCCTCCTTTGAGGAGCTGGACCTAGAAGTCACTGGGGATGGGGAGGGAGCTCCGGGCCTGCTACCTGACTTGGGCTATGCAGAAGACCAGGAGGTCACAGGCAAGTGGACCAAGGAGCCCGTTGCTGCTGAGAGAGGTGAAGAGTAAAGCAGAGACCTGGTTTCCTCGCCTTTCATAGGGATTTGAAGTACCAAGAACTGGCTGTCTTTGCTGTCTCCTTCCTCTCCAGCTAAGAGATTTAAGTTACTGATTCCTCCTGGGACCCACTCTCCCTCTTTGCAGAAAGGGTGTTTGAATGTTACAGGGACGGACGGTTCAGCCGTGGGGTTGGAGCTGGGAGGCAGTGGGTGTCCTACAACGCTAGGGTGTGCTGGGGTAGGTGCAGGCTGGTGGGCAGCAAAATGCATTTGCAGTTTATGTGTCTCTAGTTGCCTTGCAAATTCTCTGCAGGCATCTTTGGGTATGTATGTGCATTGCACAGTTTTCCCCTCTCTCTGTTCTCTCTGTCGGTGCCCCTCCCTCACCCACAGCATATTTCTCTGTCACACAGGTGTGTGTTTTCTAGCACCAAAGAGCAATGAATAGGGTTGGTTGATTTTGTTCCCCCCTTCTCTTTTCCTTGCTGAGAATTGAAACATCCAATGTAAAATTGTCCTCCTGAAACTGCCATGGGAGCTTTTGGAATCTCTAATAAAGTGGATGCTTTTCCTCTGAGGTGGCCAGCAGGGTTATTGACTGTCTCTTGGCCAGCTGTGCTGTCCTTCCTTGTTGAGGGGAACAGGCTGCAGGCTCAGGACTTCTTAGGGGCTATCCCACGCAGGGCCTGCCTCTCCTTTCCCATGCCACTGTGAGTTGTCGGGCTCCTTGCACCCTCCCAGTGCTCCCTGAGAAGGAGGCGGTGCAGGGAGGAGTGCATGAATGCCTGGCAATGTCCCGGATGGCCCTATTGATGGCACTCACTTTCATAGAAAGGCTTGAGCTGAGGGACAGCACCTGCTTTCCCAAGATGTGCTGTGAGCGATGTGGGAGCCACATCAGCTGTGCTGAGCCAGGTCAGACTGTGCCAAAGGAGGATAATTTCTTCTTGGGTCTTGAAAACCCACTGGGAGTGAAAATGCCCAAGTACCACTTCACTGGGTTCTTGGTGGGCATGGTACTGCCATGCTTCCCTCCTGCTTGCGGCCCCTGGCTGCTCTCTGAGGCTTCCTGGATGGGGTCCAGCAGAGAGCGGGACCAACCTGCCTGGGCAGGGGGAGACACAGCAGGGTTGGGGAGGTATGGCTGTATCGACTCTCCTTCCTCCCTGCCCCATCCCTTCACCTTGCTCTTCATTAACAAGCCTGGGGAGAGCTGTACGGCTTGGCTTGCTTTGTCTCCCCTCTCACCCTGTCTGCTGGGCTGTTGACATGGAAAACAGGACTTGTTCCATCCAGCAGGACCGTAGGTGTCTGCAGCACCCCTGGGTGCACTACTGCCATCTGTGGGGTGCCCCACTGGGGCTGGCCCAGGGATCGGGAGGAGAGGTTTAGGGAGAGCGGTCCCTGTGCAGGCCCTGATTCCAGCCCCTGGAAGAGGAGGAGGCAGCCAAGAACAGGCTTACCCCTGGAGAGTGGAGAAAGCAGCCTGGATGTCATCACCCCACCTGTCACAGTGCCCTGGAGCAATGCCTAGTGGCTAAAGCACCTCTCTTGGCCCAGCAGAACTAAGTTCCTTTCCCAGCCCTGTCACTCAACTCTGCCCTGGTGCCTCAGTTTCCCTTAGGCAACCCAGGGCTTATTCCCCCACAAATTGGATGTGGCGGCCCAAAAAAACAGGCCATGTGGCCATTCCTCCAGGGTGGGGACATGTCCTCCCTGGCTTGAAAAGGTGACGATTACTCCTCAGCCAGCAATTGACACGAGATTGTTCATAAATATTTTGTGCTCTCAGTGATAAAATATTAAACTCCTCCAGCCCACATGGAAAAATATTGCTCTTCCTGGGTGTTTATCTTTGTTGCCAGTTATTACAAAACAACCAAACCCCCTGAAATATTTATGCCTGGCTGAGTCTCCCTGGGGGTAGAGCCAGACAGCAGATCCTAATGCCGCTTGTCCCCTAGGCCCGTCAACATGGGAAGAGGGGATTTGCCATCATTCCTTCACTGCCAGAAATGCCAAAGCAGCAGCGAGGCACAGAAGAGCTGGTGAAAGGGAGCCCTGGAGGCACTCGCTTGCTTCTGCCCCTGGTCACCCCCAGTCATCCCATTCTTGTCCCTGAGATATGGAGCTCTCTTGGCCACCCATCAGGATGCAGCACTACAGGATCCTGGGAGGCCAAATGGGGCCAGGAAGGGTTTGGACGAATGCTGGAGGCAACCAGTGACCCCAAACACTACCTCCAGCTGCCATCTATGCCTTGGGAAGTCCCCAGAGCCCCAATCGGATCACCAGCTTGTGAGCATCCCCTAAGCTATCCCTCAAGCTCAGTGCTTGGGCTAAGGATGGGTGCTGGGGACCACATGCTGGGGGGCTGTGGGGTGTCAGCTGGTTGATGCTGGACCCTTGGGTGCCTCCGGAGGTTTTGGCGAGCATGGTGCCAGCCTGGGCAGGGGGCTGTGCCAGGCAGGAGGTGGGTGGCGGGGAGGACCGGGATGAAGCTGTGAGCCGCAGCCCGGGATG